GCTAAGGTAGGGTCAGGCACTGCACAGCTGGGGCAGGGCGGGGCATGGGATGGAGCTGCAGCTTGTCTAGGGGATGTGGGAACAGCTTCTGCCGCTGCACACACCATGGGAAGGCATGGGGGGGGACACGTACCCCCAGATCTATGCACGAGGGAGGGCAGGCTGCTGCTGTGGGCTTAGACTGGGGCGGTGCCGGGGTCTTCCTGGTGGGGGCCGGGTCAGGCTGCATTTGGGGTGGGTGACAGTGCTGGGTGGTGAGGGGCTACAGCAAATTTTGGAGCAGCTGCAGCCCTCCCCAATCCTCCCTCCCAGTGCTGCCATGTGCCCTAAGTGCAGCCTAGCACAGCCCCTGGCTCTAGCCTGCCGCAGCAGCCTGCCCTCCTCCGTGTGCAGATCCGGGGGCAAACAACCCCCATGCCCTCCCAGGGTGTGCGCAGCAGCAAGAGCCGTCCCCTCCCTGCCACCTCCTCTGAACAAGCTGTGGCTCTGTCCCATGCCCCAACCCGCCCTGGCTGGGCAGGTCCAGCACCATTCATACAGCTGCATTCACCCAGCCCTACTCCCACTACATCCCTCACTGTGGGGGCCTTGATCTGCCCCTTCTGTCCCCCATCACCCCTTCCCCCACAACAGACTTACTAGCTGGACCTGGCTGCTCTCCATGCTGCTGGGCTGCGGCTGCGTGCATGCACAGGGCATTTATCAGTCATATTATCGGCCATATCTGACAAAAAAAGCCAATTGCCAATACTTTCAATTTTCCTCATATCGGTGCTGATCCAATATGGGACCGATGTATCAGTGCACCTCTAAACAATATTGATTTAAAGCCAACTGACTTAAACCACTACAATTCCTGCGTGCAAACCAAGATATTTGAATTTTCACTAGATAAGTAGCTGCACCACAGAAGCCGTCGAAGGAAAGTTGGAAGTTTATGCAGGTGAGCTGGGGACTATCATGCTTTTGGTTCCTTCATGCTGGCTTTGGCATGTAGGAGAAACCAAATGCTCTAGTACTAGTAGGTGATTTTTTTTACTTTTTCTTGCCATGCTTGGATGGGGAACACATGATGAAAAAAAAAGGAAGTGATGAGCTGAATTCCTCATTACTCACCTTGGAGGCACAGTAGGCCAAATTTGCTCCCCCCTTCAGCCTTAAACAGCTAAACAACAGCAACTTCATGCTTCATGTTTCAAAATTGGAGAATACTACTAATACACATATAATTATCAATAAGATGGTTATTATTAAGCAATGTTGCCTGTTTATTATCTCAAGGATGTGCATTTCTTCTTTCCTCTTCTCATTCTCATGATGTGTGGGGACATCCCATTTTTCCAGCTTAGAACTACCTGCAGCTCCTTCAAGAATAAGTTATCTTTCCTCCAGATTGGTTAGAAGGGCTGCTCAACCAGAAAAGATGTTCCTACCAACAAGAGCTGAGAAGCCTGCCTCTTTCAGACCCTGACAGCTCAGAAAACATGAAACAAGAAACCAACATGATATTTCTCACTGAGAAACCACCAGAACGTTGTTCCTGTCTTTTCCAATTTTATGGTTATTATTTAATGTCTACATCCTAATAAAACCTAGAGACTTTGATTATCATTTTGATAGGCACCTCCCTACATAGCTAAATCATTCCCATTGCATTTGGTACTCACCACACATAATGAAAGCTGAGCCACTGCCCCAAATAACTTATAATTTAAACATTAAACTTAGTCACAAAGAAGTGAAGTGACTTTCTCCAGGACCACACAGAAGAGCTGGGAAGAGAAGCTAGGTCTCCAAATTCCCAGTCCCATGACTTAAACCATGCTGCTACCACTTTTGCTATTAAAATCTCCAAATGAGTGGCAGGAAGAGGCCAAAAAACTGGCTTACCCTCTGAATAGCGAGATGTTCCGAATTAAGCATTCCTTCAATGGGCAAGCATTTTCGAAGATCTTCAGCAATACTTCTGAGCATAACATCATTATTACTCAGCAAGAAGTCATCAAAGTCATCTATAAAACAAAACAAATAAATAAATAAACACACCATTCATGGGTACATCTTGTGGGCTTTTCAGCAACCAGTATAATACAATTGTGATATGTAAATAGTACCAGATGCACAGGGTTTTATTTGAAGTGCATTGTCAAGCCTTTGTTACCTTTTCCAGCCAATGACAGATTTAGAGCCTAACAACTTTGCCCTTTAAAGTAAGTGTAGAGCTTTTTTTAAATCCTAAATTATTTTCATATTTATAAACGTATAACTTACACATGATGGTCTTTGCCCCCACTAAAATGATATTGTTTCAGTCTAAGATATTAAAACATCAAAGATGCTTTTGAAGTGCTGGAAAAATGACAAAACTCATAGCTCCCTGCAGGCACATAATTTTTAGAAGTTTCTCTTTATATATACACACATCAACTTCCAAATAAAATATGCAGAAATACTACTAGCAAAACTCATAGACAATACACAGGGCAATAGGTCCAATTACCAGCTATCTTACCATTTTGACTCGCATCCAAGAAAAAGAAAAAAATTATGGGAATAAAGCCTCATTTTGGATTTGATACTGGCCTAGCGTGGGCAGTGGCTCAACTATGGATTTGGCCCTGGGGCTCTGAAGCCCGAGCTGAGCTGCTGCTGCTGTCTGCCTGCCCGAGGCCAAAATGACTCATTTAGCATGGGAGGGGGCACATGGCTAGGGGGAGCAAGGGGGTGGGGAGAACCCACCACCTCTCCCACCCTTTACTGTGTCCTCACCCACTTACCTTCTGCTCTGGTTCTGGTCCCTCCAGCCCCTTACCTTCTGCTCTGGCCTCTAAGTCCCTGCTGCTGCTTTCCCTACCGCAGCAGGGCATGGGGAATTAATTTAAAATTACTTTCAATAATTAGATTCTTCTATACATATAAAATTATACCAAATTTACAATTTTCCATGCAGAGGATCTAATTATTTGGAGGGGGTCATCCTAAATTCAGAGTAATCTTGGGTTTAGGTAAACAAGGTAAATAACTTCTGCACCAATATTTGCTCCCATCCGCTTCATTTTAGATCCTTTCCCAAAGCTATTTTCCTTCTAACCAAGGACAACTTGACAAAAAAGCTCCTTAATGCTCCATCTATATTGGGCCCTGAGTTAGTTTTTAACACAGGTCTACACAATATTGATATAAAAAAACAAGGCTCAGCCCCATCCATTAAGGTGTTGCCTACGTTTGGATTATTTTCATCTCAGTAAAAACTTTTTTCTCAAATGCCTTGTCTAGTTAGAATGAAAGCTCTTTGGACAAAGGCTGGTTTCTACAATGTATACATACTGCACCTAACACAAAATGAGATCCTATTCTTGGTTAGAGCTTCTGCAGTATTATTATAAGTAAGCATTTTTCACTGCTCCTGGCACTGATGGGAGCCTCAGCAGCAACTAAGGTTCAAAACAAGTCTACTAGACACAGTGGTTAACTGTCAAGGACTTGCCTATAGTAGGACACCAGATATTTTTTACTACTGGTAGGCTGTACCAGCACCAGCAGTAACGAGCAATTTTATAGCCCAAAGGCCAGTTAAATCACATTTTTTGCCTTGTAGTGACTTTGACTCATTCAGTAAATGCGATTTAAGTAAATATGCTAGTATTCAATACTGCAAGACATTCTCTCCCTACAGAAAATTGTGAACACTGTTTGCACACTTCCCAAGACTGAGACCATGAGTCCAATCCTGAATCTCTTACATGATGCTGTAGAATTTGGCTGTGTATACACTTTCAAATAACCTTGGAGAATTCTCCCAGATTTGTTTTCCTGGTAGAAAAATTTACCCAGAGACCCCTGAACATACATTTGAATGCTGAACCCCTGAAGAGCAGTGAGCTTGTAGTGCTGACTCTGTGCAGCCAAGTGGCCTCCGTGCCAGGGGTGGGCAAAATGCAACCCACGGGCTGAATGCAGCCTGCCAGGCCATTCTATCTGGCCCACAGGGCCCCTAAAAAATTTTGAAAATTTAATATTTATCTGGCCTTGGCTGCCTATCATGTGGCCCTTGATGGCTTGCCAAAACTCAGTGAGAAGCCCTCCACCTGAAATAATTGCCCACCCCTGCTCTATGCACATATCTCAATGTGCTGTGCAGGCTCTCTCAGTCTGACTGGAAGCAGATGGCAGCAGTGCATAGGGCAGCCTGCATCTCCCTGCAGCACAATGTGGCAATTGTGAAGAGGTCATGTTCTGCTCCCTGCTTGGCTGGAGCGGTAGAGTCCAGCCTAAGTGACACATTGTTTCCTGGGTGGGGAAAAGGAGCAGGAGAGAAGAGAAACTCTCCTGAGAGTGATTTAACCCTGGTTCTTTAGAGGTTATATTTCTTCCAAGATGGTCATTTTAACTCTAGAGAAAAATCCTGAATATCTGTATACTTGTAGTTTCCACTAGGAGAGCAGCAACTCTCCCAAGATAAACTGAATGTCTGTACTCGACCTATTCCTTCTAGGCCTTTAAACCAGGTAGACTCCATTAAGATTTATTTTGGTTACTGCTAGTTACCAGTTGTATCACAGTTGCTTTGCTCAAAAGACCCAACTGCAATAGGATGCTCCATTGTATTAGGTATTACTGAAACAAAGGAAACCATGGTCATTGTCCCAAAGAACTTGCAATATCATATATCACTTTGTATATCACGTTATGATGTTTTGGATCAGGTCTTAGGAAAGAAGGCAATTAAGCAAATTAAGTGATATAATTTACACAAGTTATGTGCTCAACTTGGCAGCTCCAGATAAATAGCAATTTACTTCTATGTCTCCCACTTTCCTCCAATCCATGCAACAATCTGCAGATGGCTTACAGGGACTGCAAAAGCAGTGGATCTTGAGGAGGAATTTCAAAAGAAAGGCAGTGACTTTACCAGTCAGTGCAGGAAGCAGATGTTCCACACATACAGGACAGCATGGAAGAGAGCAACAGTGGACTAATGGGTCTTCAAGGCAGGTCTCATTAGTGAAATAAGACAGGGCAAGGGAAACTTGATAAAAGACAAGAACAGATAAGAAAGGACAGACAGACAGACTTGTAAAAGGCCTTAAACATGTAGAGAAGAAATCTGAACTTGATGAGATGAATGATAGTAAACAGAATTAGGGGAAAAAACGGTCACTGGGTCAGAACAATGGGCAAGAAAGATGATATTAGCAGCTGCATTTGTATGGACTGGTGATTGTGGACAGTAAGCGCCAACATCTGGCAGTGCTTTTGAACAATACAGTTACTATACTGAAGAGCTCACCCAGCTGTTATCCTGATTGGTATCAAATTCACATACAAATTTAAACAAAATGCAGAAAGTGTCACTAGATTACCCACACTAGTAAGGTAAATCTTCAATATGACCACATTTAACCCTTTTCATAGATTTCATAGTCAAACAAAACAAAACAAAATCAATTTTTTTTTGTAAGTATTATTTTTTAAATAAAACCACTTCATCAGCATCAGAAAACTGACAGATCTTAAGTTTCACTTTCTGTATGTCAGGGGAAATGCTAGATAAAATGGCTACTATAGTCCCTGGTTGGCTGGGAAAGATCTGAAAACCTCAAAAAGTTATGTCCCTGAAATAACTGCAAGCCTTGTTGCTAGGAAAGCCACAGACTCCATACTTGTGATTTACTAACTAAAGGGAATTTTCACTGATCCAGATTCTATAAAATCCTTGTAGTGGGAATATGGCCCAGTAAACAGGACACTGACCTGGTTTAAGATATGGATTATGTAAAAGATATGAATTATGTATACAGTTCCACCACTGAACAGCTACATGACTTTGGCCAAGTCTTTTAACTAATCTGCATTAGTTTTCCCTCACCACTTGTCTTATCTAATTACACACAATAAATTCTTAAAGGCAGAGATTGTGTCTTATGAATTTGTGTATTATCCCTCAAAATAAGGTTTGCATCTTGGCTGGAATCTCTAGAACAGGGGTCATCGTTGTTTTTGGGCAGAGTGCAAAAAAACACTTGCAAACTTGACTCGCAAGATGTTGGCATGCCAGGGGTGGATGACAGGGGAGCCACAAGGGGCCCAATCCTTGTTGTGGCAGTGCAGCCCTGGCCCCTTCCCTGCCGTCTACCCTCAGGTGCATGTGCCAAGCAAAATGCCCGTGTGTGCCATGCTCTGGCGGTTACTTCAACACAAATGATAACAAACACAATAAAGTTAGTGACCTAAGATCACTTTCTGCAGGTATTGTGTGCACAATGGACCACTTAAAAACAAACAAACAAACAAAACAAAACCTATACTTGAAAACCATCCTTGGCTTAATTAACCCCAAAAAACAAACCTAATGAAACCTGGGTACTGAAAAGTGGACAACTAATTAAAATTACTTTTCTCCAAGTAGTGGTACATATTCCGTTTCACATATGAACATACCAGGGCACAAACAACAAAGTTGATTGAATCTATAACCTTTGTTTGAAGTTACAGACTAGCAACCTATTAAGTTTCACTTGTGTAATGGCTTTTATTTGTTCACTTAATCTGTGACTAAAACTCAGAATTTGAAAGATTATTTAATTCATAATCATGGAACAGAAAAACCTAACACAATAAATCATATCAGACTGCCTTAGCTAGGTATTTATAGTAGTAGGCAACTGTCTGTCTCATGAGAGTAGAATTACACTGTGTGAAACATCAGCTCTCTGAATACAATCCTTGCTTGAAAGATAAAGCAGCAAAAAACTGGGCAGTATATATGGAGACATCAACCAGCCCACACACCAGTGTCCCCCCAAGTATGTTATCATCTGTTTTCTACTCCAAAACCAGTTCCACTGGATCTGCTCACTGTACATTTGTAATTTAATTAATACTTAGAAACACCTTACTGCTGCTCAGCAAAAAAGTTTTGGACATTACCTTATATATAAGGACATAATAATTTAATAATTCCTACCATCTCCTCCAGTCCCAGACAGGTACACTCTTTTGTATATTATCA